CGAAGGCGGCGGATAGGGGGGAAAAAAAAGAAGTTTTCCTTTCGTTTTCCTTTGGGCTTGTGTTTATTGGGTTGGGCGGTGCGGACACGCAGACATCGCACGGGGGCGGGGGCGTCGTTGGCTCTGGGCGAAGACGCGGACGCGGCGATGTCTGCCGATATCATGCTCTACTCGAGCCCGTTGCCGAAGCGGCACTTTGACAGCACGGCCGCGCTGCGGCAGGCGGTGTTGTGCAGAGGGGACGAGTACAGCGAGTACGAGCGGTTGATTCTCGAGGAGGTCAACGCGCTGCGCCGGGACCCGGTCGGCTTCGCAGCGGTGGTGGAGGCGGAGGCGACGGTGGGGTACCCGTTTGTGCGGGACGACCCGCTGCCGGCGCAGTGCTCGGAGATGACGCTCGAGCAGCTCCGCGTGTACGTTGAGGACTTCCAGCGGGAGCGGCGGGAGGTGAAGGAGGCGCTGCGGCAGACGCGGAAGGAGTGGTCCGAGGCGGAGGCGGCGATGAAGGAGCGGTGGGGTGTGGAGGACGTGGAGCGGGCAAAAAAGGCCAGGCGCAGCGGCGCCGCCGGCCGCAAGCAACGCAGCCTGCCGTTGAGGGAAGAAGACTACGTCCTGGACCGGCAGCGCGCCGCGCAGGAGCTCACCGACCGCTACACGCAGCAGACGCGGGAGGCCAACGCGCGGCTGCTGCACCTGGAGCGCTCCTGCAAGTGGGCGATTGACGGGGCAAACCTCATCATCAAATGCGTGCAGGAGCTGCGAGAGGTGAAGGCGGTGCCGGAGCTGGCGTACAGCCGCAGCCTCACCCTCGCCGCCCGAGACATAGGGAACGAGTCCCACCAGCCACCTCTCGTGCGGGCGCTAACGCCACGGACGTCGCTGCTCGCAGCGTCCTCGCCGCAGTACAACGCCGCTGGCAACGGGGACGCGCCGCAGCTCCCGCAAAGTCAGAGTATTGTGAGCAACGAGCAAGGCTCACCTCTACATCGTTCCTCCTCGTTGGTGGCAACGCCCCGGGAGGAGGGGGGTCACACCAGCTTCCAGCAAAACGAGAGTAACCATAATAACGAGAGCGGCTCCGCCGACATGCTGCAGCCGCAGAGGGAAGAAGATCTTGACCGGGCGAACGCCTCTCTCTTCGAGTCGTACATGGCTTTCTCCGAGAACTGCACCCCGCTGCTTTTCCGACCGCAGGAGGCTTCCGGCGAGAGTGAACATCTTGCGAAGGCGGCAATGCGGGCCTGCAGCCAGTATGGGTATTACTCCGGCGTTATCCGCGGGTTACAGCTTTGTGGTGCCTTTGCGCCACGCAAGATGGTAATTCAGATACTGCTCGGGGCTCGCGTGTCGCAGTTTACGGTGCAGGCACAAAACCCCACGCATGACGCAAGCGACTCTACATTTTTCTCTACGACGAAAAATGCATCAACGACTCCGCTCCTCTGGGTCAATGGCCGCCTCTTCGGTGGCGGCTGGGTGCGGTCGCTGCAAGGGACGGTGAGCGCCACGATCCTCGTCGCCGCCAGCTTCGAGGAGCTGAGCGTCATCCACGAGCGCCGTGATTTTACGCTTCCGCAGCTGCACCGCATCCTCAATAGCCCCGGCGCGGTTTCCACGGAGAGAGAGCCCACTCGACCGGCGGTGGTGCACATTCAGTCCTCGCTGGGCGTCGCGGTGGTGGAGCCCGTGGCCCACCCTATTCTGGTGGGCAAGGAGCAGCGCGTGGCGCGGGTGCTTGTGCAGGCGGATCCAAGCGTCGCCGACCTCGCCGCGACGGTGTGCTGCGTTTCCGAGGCGATTCCTACCGTCCCGCTGCTGGATCGCGAGTTGCTGCTCGTGCAGCGCAGCCGCGACAACATTCAAGAGGTGGAGATCCTCCTCGACACGCAGGCGGCGTGGCACCGCTGGCCAGGCCACCCCCTTCTCGTGCACCTGTTTGAGCGGGATAAGAACGCCGCGACTGTGGGGGCGTTCACAAACATCGGCTTCGTCCGGGTGACCCCGACGCAGCGCGCCGGCGACCGGTTCGGGGCACTCACGCAGTTCACATCGCTTTCCACCGCCGGAGAGAAGGGCGCCGGGGTGGCTCGCACGCCGCCGATTTTAGCGCACAGGCGATGCGAGGGCCCGAGGGAGGTCAAGGAGGAGCCGCACGGCTGGCCCCTCGTGACGATGCACTTTCAGGAGCTCTGCGCCACCGTCGTTGAGCCGCTTAGGGGAACGCTGATAGCCGACGACGAAGTGCAGCACGTCGCCATACAAGTCCCGGAGTTTGAATACCTGCAGCACCGCCTGGAGCACATCCTGCTCCTGCTAGAGAAGGAGCAGTCGTTTTTTGAGTGGGAGGCGGCGAGTGGGAGCCAGCAGCGGATGAATGAACTGATTGCCGCAACTATGTCCAAACTGAAGGTTGCCGAGGAGGAGCTGCGGGAGCAAGAGGGCCCCACGCAGCAGGAACTCGCACAACTTCAAAAAAGTATGGTGAAAAAGCGCGGCAAGGAAATGGCCAGGCTTAAACGACAGGAGGAGGAGCTGCTGCAGCGCACTGCCGCGATGAAACAAAATGTTGAGGACCTGCGCCAAACCCTGGCGGATGCCCAGGAGGACTTGGTGCAGCTGGGACGTGAGTACACGCTTCGCGTTAAGCGCCAGCGGAATTTGCGCCAAGAGTACGAACGACTGAGCGAACGCGCCAACCGTGCGAAGCCGCTCCCAGTGGAGGTTGTGCTTGTCCCCGAGGACGCCACGCTGACCAACGTGGTGAGGAAAGTCCAGCTGCGGCCGACCAACGACGCCTGCACCCTGTACGAGGGGGATGTGCGGCTGACGCAGGGCTTCAAGGGGAACGTCGTGCTCTTTGTGAATGAGCAGGAGACGGTGCGGTGGGAGTTGCGCCCGGGGTACTAGAGCTGGGGGAGAGCCGCAAAACAGTAATAACAGAAAAAAAAGCAATTTGGATGGGCACGGCCGTGGCTCTCTCGCTTGCCTTTGTGGGTGTGTGTGTGTGTTTGTTCTCACATGTACCATCCGAGTTGTTGACTGAAGACATGTACAGGCATATATCGTTCTTGCAGAAGAAGACGAAGCAAAATCAAAAGAAAAAAAAAGTGAGAAAAACAAAAAAAACGAAAAGAAGAAGTAGGCGGGTGGATGGGGCGAAAGGAGCGGAGGAGGGGGGAGGGGTTTCGAGAGGAGGAGGCAGACAACCAGTCCCAAGTAAGAGGGGCAGGGTGGCGGCAACAAGACAAAAAGCAAAGGAACAAACAAGCCATGAAGGAA